AAAAAAAACCACACTTTTTTTTGGTAGTTGCCTGTTTATCTTTTCTCTCCAGCAAACCCCACTTTTTCTTCTTCTCTTTTCCTTTCCGGAAAGGATACGTGTACGTAAGACTGAGACGTAGATTCTAATTGTATTCTTCACGGAAGACGAAACGTTTTCATTTGCTTGTGTACACATTGAATGTGACCTTCAAGACCATGCTAATCAAGGGAGTCTGTGCGATAGCGGCGACACACACTACAGTCCCACTGAAATTTTATTAACTTTTTTTTTAATAAACTAGAACTAGAAAAAAAAGTGGAAGGAGCAGACCATAAGAGCGCCATCAACAGACAGGGGTGGGGTGGGGCAAAACTGTTCTACCTAACCTAACATCAGTGGATCACAAAACTGACACACGCACGATGTTGTAGCAGCACACATGAAGCATCGCGTGTCTTCACCACGCTGTGCTCGATACACTTCATGACTTCATGGCTTACTTACACAAATTACACACAAATTTGAGTGTGCGTGTAAGTGTAAAGGGGGGGGGGGGGGGGGGGGAAATGTCTAAAAATGTCAAAGCAACAACTCTTTGGCATCCTTACCTCTTTCATCTTGTCTGACAGCGTCAGACAGGTCTCCTGGATTTTCATAGACCCCTCCCATTTGCTCGGTGCCATCGTCATCATCATCATCATCGAGCTCACCATCCTCTAAGATCTCCCCATCCTCCGCCTCACCACTCTCATCTAAAGAAACAGCAGAGCCGGGTGACTCTTTCTTTGACTTCGATGTACTCCTCCCTGAATATTGACCCTCTTCATTCCCAAAGGAAGTCACTCCAGGAGGCTCCTTCATGTCCGATAAATAATCCGCACCACGATGAGACCGTCGAGACTGAGAATTACTGCTGCGACTAGACTTTCTCTTGCTGTGGTGCTTCCTACGAGAACTTTTTTCACTTTTTTCAGTCACTGCCTGATCCAGCTGAGACTCACTGGCACTGTCCGAGCGAAGTCGCTCAAGACCACGCTGCTCTTCATCCGACCCCTCAAACTCCTCAGGGTTCTCCTCGTAACTTGTAGACCTCTTGTGGCGCCGGCGTCCACTACTGTGGTGGTGCCTCCGGTGGTGATGTCGGTGCTCTGAGCTGTTTCGGTGTTTTCTCGACTGTCCATCCTTCCCCTCCGGAGACTCCTTCAAGGTGGGGCTGTGAGGGATGGGAGACTCCGACACAGCTTCACCCTCCTCTTGAATTGTTCCCTCCATGGGTTCTTCACCCACTTCATCATTCACGTTAGGGGTAGGAAGATCTAGACCATCTCCTCCCTCTATGGAAGACATATTGTCACTTGCTGCCATGTTTCTCACATCAGAACATTTGCTTGCTGGTACTCACTGAGAAAGAAGATGGGATTATATGATTATAATATAAGAATACTCAACAGGTCACTACTTTTTGTAAGCAAGAAATTCAAATAAAACTTCTTGATTTGTGACAATTTATATTAATGTCCTAGAAAGCTGTATTCATCAAAACACTTCGCTCTCTGTGTCGGAGAGGGGGTGGGGTTTTAACAATCCTTATTGAAACACAGAATGACTTCTATTAAATCCAAAGGCAGTTGCCCACAGAACACTGGACTGCTGAGCTAAAATGTCACAGAAGAAAAAGATACATTTAGAAACAAATCAAATTTGTAACTTATGTATAACATGTTTTGGTAAGAGTTTTGAGGCACTTGCAACACAATAAAGTCACATTCAGTGCTGAAGATTAGGTGTTACAGAGAGTAAAAGAAAGAAGGGAGATAAGGAGGATAGAATAATTTAACGGGAACAAAGGAGCAAGCCACACCAGAGCACCCGCCAACCACCCACTAATATATTTCAGCTTCTTTACCTTAAAACTTTTTTTACTCTCACAAGCTATTCAATAAATAATAACACTCTTAAAGAATCCCTTAGTTCTCTACAGAAACTGGAGTCATGCATTAAAAAATCTTCTGTTTCTGAGTTCTACACTCACCCAAAAATTTGTTAGTGATTTGTTCAAGAGTTTTATGCATGATGACAGTATTTTATAAGCAGGATATCATACAAAGTAGCCTAATCAATGTCGAGTTTTCAGTGTCAGTCATCTGAATTTCAAGAAGAAAAAAAAACAAGCAACATAAAAAAGGGAAACGATTCTACAAAAACACCACTGGTTTGCTGAATGGTAAAGGAAGCTTATTAAATATTAGATAATATTATCTTAGATGATGAGGTGGTTTTTCTGTCAAAATGGTGTTTTTTACACCCCCATTAACACAATTATCTTCGTCATATGGATAAGATAGTAAAACACGATGTACGGATAGGGTTAACTGTGGTTGCCCATAGTCTTTATCATACTATCTTTCTAAAATGTGAAGAATACCACCGGGGGGTACAAAATGACCCAAGGGCGTACAGATAGGGTTAAATAACACAAGCCTAGTTTGATGATGCATGACTTATGTCGGAGGCACTTTCCTTGGATTTAGATGCTTCATGTTAAGAACTTCCTAAGCCACACCTTACTCTTACTTGGGCCTTGTTCACAGTAAATTTCAGAGACAAAAGTTCGGCCTTGATAAAAATAAAAAAGAGTTGCCTGATCGATCTGATAATAACTGATTCATACCGAGTAAGTGACAGCTTTCCAACGGCTATTGAATTATTATAAAAGATGTACAAAAAGAGAAGAGAACGTACAGCATTATTCAGCCCTTGAAGTAAAATAACATTCGTAAGAAACTAGATAAACCTGTTGTGCTCTCTAACCACCCGCTTTTGACTGCTCCAACTGTGCATTGGAAGGACGATAGCATAAAAAAACCTTTTTTTTCTGTTTTTTTTGTTTTGAGGGGGGGGGGGAATCTAAACGTTTATGTTAAGCAATCCTTGTGCCTGATATATCCAATTTGTGCTTCGATTAGTCTTTACTATGATTTCACCCTACTTAATCTAGACATGGATCATACCAGTATCAAAAGTGGAGCGTCGCCCCATAGATTAAACCATGATAGACCATGCCATACATAAATTATTAAAAGATAGAAAGAAGGTTAAGGAGGCAGATTAGGATTTTTCAAAGATTTAGACCATCACAAATACAAAGTAACAACTAATAAAATAAAACAGTTCAGCACATCCATGCTATTTCACAACTGATGGAGTTACAACTTGGGCCAGCCCTAGTATTAACTAGATCTAGTAAGTCCATCTTTCCTACTCACTCCTCACACCACACATTGACAACACCCCCATAAAAAGTGACTGTCAGAGTTGGGATGAAAGATTTGATGGGCATGGGATGAACAGTTTTTAAGATGTGTTCCTTTCAATAAAACATGTACGCTAAGTCTAAGGTGGGAGGAAACTGGGGTAAGGTCGAGGAATGTGTAATAAAACGAGACTAGGAACTGGGAGAAGGAAAGAACACTAAACAGTCAGGATTGACACAATACTTTCGTCAGTAGAATGATGGATCAGCAAATTGTAACACGGTATAAAATTTAGTCCACAGCTGTTGTCATGTGATCGCGAGCTACGACCATAGTGTGTTTATCTCTACCTCTCCTATTCCTTCTCTAACTCTTGTCATAGTCCTTCGCGAAAATAGATCTTTCAAAAAGCATTGGAAAGTAACTGGAGATTCGTTATCTTTCGTGTTTATCAAGTAGCCTAGCCTAGGCCTTGTGGCTTGTGGTGTTCCCATTTCACCTAATGTGGGATTACACCCTCCTTCCAAGGTTTCAACTCACAGGCATTAAACTTACTAACCAAACTACGGACATAGAGAACTGTGTTCACCATAGTTAAAGTAAAGCCGACAACTTGTCATACAACACGTTCTCAAGTACAAGAGTAGCAACATGTTTTACGCCAAGGGCCCCACAACGACAGCACGATAAAGTAAAATAACTGCTCAGGCCACGTAAACCACAAAAAGACCGGACTGTGTGGCATGGCCTGAGTAAAACCACTAGTCTAGCCCTGCTCCACAAAGCGTCACGCAGGAGCGCATGGCGCGAGGAAGGCGCAGCAGCAAAACAAGCGGGTTAGGAGCTAGATCTATTTTTAGACTTCGATCGCCAGGGCTGGCCAGGGCCAGGTCGGCCTTGCCTGAGCCTGTGCGCCTGTGCTGTGAGAATGCCCGGCAAAAAGAATCATGCGATGGAACGCTTTCGCTCTATTTTTTTCCAACTCAGAACTCGGAAGCCTCTGCCTGGCGGATAGCGGTCTGAAGTCAAACAAACCATTTTTGGAATTTTTCTACTGATTTCCTGAGTTGGTACAGGCCAAGGTGTCAAGCTGCATTCTACTAAATCCATACAATGTATGAAGACAAAATTAATGTAGGAATGCACAGGACCAAACATTTACACTGAACGCCTAGTACAGCAAGAGGCGAGGTTCTTTACAGAGAGACCGATTTCACGTATCAATTACACAGACCGGTAGCAAAATATGTACGGACAACCGTATACTTTTCTAAACTATAAATTACTTTATTACATTTCCAGTAAACCGAGCTCATGGGTGATAGATCTAGTAAACCGCCATTCTGCGTTGGCGTGCTGCCGGTGAAAGACCGAGGGAGAGAACACAAGATAGCCTGCTATCTAGATCATTGCATTTATTATCTAGTTCGAATGTCGCTCAGAAATCAATTTGAATGCATACACGAAAGATTGCAAAATCGTGAAATTGGGTTGTAATAATACGGCGAGTCGAAAACTATGATGAAAGACGGCAGACATTTTTGTTTTGAATACCATTTTTTTTTAAAAATAGTATGTATAGGAAATTGTAGTACGAGGAGAAGAACACGTAGCAAACAACGTATTATTACATCCATGCACGTACATGTAATATAATGTTACATGATGTATACTAGAACATAAACTACTTTGGTGGGTGGTTGGCGGGTGCTCTGGTGTGGTTTGCTCCTTCTTTCCTCTTAAACATCTATCGTCCTTATCTCTCCTTCATTTTTACGTTTGTTGTTACTCTCTTGTAACACCTCTAATCTTCGGCACTTATATGACCTTATTGTGTTGCAAGTGCCGTAAAACTCTTTACTATTAAACTAAACTAAACTACTTTTGGAATAAAAGCGCCCAACAACAACCTGTACAAAATGTTGACCTGCACCATACACTGTACGGTACGGCAATCGGTTTCGTGTCGCCTTGTTTGGGTTTAGGCAACTGATTAGCATAACAACAGCTGTGCATGATCTAGCTTTGGCGCGAGTAGCACATAAACGCGATAGTGGTCTTTTCTTGCAAAAGCAGGACAAATATTGACAAAAACAAAAAAACAACAGTGACAGAAAGTGGCGTTATTATTGGCGCCCTCCAACCACCCACAACACAACAGACAGATGCCACGGGAGTCAAAGTATGATGCAAACTGGGAAAAGCACATAACGTGGTTGTTGTTTGGTTTTGTTTAGTTTTGTTTTTTGTTGTTTTGTTATTGTTGTTGTCGTCGTTGTTTTGTAAGAGTTTTACGGCGCTCGCAACTGCATAATAAAAGGTCATATGAGCGCGCGAAACAGAAGATTAGAGGTGTTACAAACACAAAAAAGGAGGAGGAGAGAGAAGGACGATAGTTTTTGAAAGAAAAAAAAAAGCAAACCACACCAGCGCACCCGCCAACCACCGACGCACATCACATCAACAACACATCGGTCACTCAGTGATGAAGAAAAAGCAAAACAGAAACAACAGAAGGAGCGAAGAAAACAAAAACTTTCCAGAGGCGCCCCCTCACCCTAGAGCGCTAGTTGAAGGACGCCACTGGTTATTGGTTGTTATTCTCGTCGCATTTTGAGTTCTCCCCCCCCCCCCCCTTCCCCATTCCCCTTTCGTAACACTGTCCGCCTCCTCCCTTGCTTCTTTTCTCTGCACTGAATGAATGACCGTCATGATTTCTTTACCCAAACTAAAGCTTTTTTGCTCAATTAAAAAAAAAAAAACCCCAAAAAACAAACTCGTATGGTACTATAAGAAGTCCGAGGAGGGAAGTTAATGAGGTAGTAGTAGGTCTACGTTGTCAATACATGTATCATGATGGGGATGCGCAAGTTCAAGGTGGAGGGAAAAGGGAAAAGGGGTGGAAGTGGGGAAAGGGGAGGGTGGGGGGTGGTTCAAGCTAAAGAAAAGGATGAAATGGTAATCACATGGTATACGTATAATATAATAAACACAAAAAAGGAAAAGAGGGTGTATTTTGATCTTGCTCAGGAAAAAGGGGAAGTGAAGGGTTTGTTGTTTGTTTGTTTGTGTTTTGGTTTTGTTTTGGGTTGTTGTTGTTTTGTTTTGTTTTGTTTTTTTTTGTTTTTTTTTGGGGGGGTGCTATGC